TAAGGATCCTGTGAACCCAACCACCCCACATTTGACCTGTAAGGACCTTTCCACCCCAACTGCTCCCTGGTTGAGCTGTAAGGACCCTCTGAACCCAACCACTCCACAGCTGATCTGTAAGGACCCTTTGAACAACTATTCTGGACTATGTCCTCAATACACAAGTTTTTTTGGGAACCAAAGCCAAAGGTTTCAGCCTTAAGTATCTCTCTTCCACCTTTTTCCTATCCCAGCAGCAGAGATCTCAGTGGGCAGGAACTTCGTTAGGACTGATTCACAAATGGTTACTGAGAACCAAACAGAGATGGGATCAATTAAAACTTTGGGACATCTTACGTCGATGCGCTGCGTCGTGTACAAAGGATTCCCCACAATGGTGTCGTATCTTCCTGCCTGGTGTATGACATGGTGCAAGGAATCCATCTGCAACAAGATCCCACGGAATGACACCAATGAGGGGAGGTAAAAAGTAATGGTAAGGCAAAAAAAAATCATAGTGCGAGTGGGATGTGCTCGTTTTGTTTAAAATAATTGTAAATCAGTGCTGTTAACACGGCAGCACCCCGTCAAGTTCTGCTTATACAGAGCAAGACGAGCCCTCAAACGAGCCAGCACCAATTTGTTGGTGTAAATCTGAAGGATGGAAGGATGCCAATGGGCCAATCCTGAGTTTGATTTCAACAAAAAAATAACACATAGATTTCAATGGGTTTGTTCCACAAATCTGACTCGAAAGAGAAGAAAAAAATAATCATCTTTATCTGATATTAAGAGAAACTGCTTTAATAATAATAATAATAATAATAATGATGATGATGATGATGATGATGATGATGATGATGATGATGAAATAACCTGCTCACCTGTGACTGCACATTGCCTCCCACCGGGGAGCTCTGGTAGGAGGTCAACGACTGCAAATTTATGAAGGAATCTCCGGAATTGGTCATCTTAAAAGAGCCAGAGGAAGCTGAATCACAACGAAACGAAGAAACGAAAGAAAAATCAGTGCAAAAACGTGTATTTTTAATTCTGTGAGCATTTCCAACCATTCATGGCGCTCATCGTCACAGGAAGGAATTGGAGACTTCCAAAGCTCTCTCCCTTACCCGAATTTGGTGTCGATGGGGAGTTTGCCCGGTTGCCCTGAGCCACAACATTGGTTGCATCCACTGCCGTTTTCGCAGCGTAAATGTTGGCTTCTTCTTGGAACTTCCCCATGTTCTTCTTGTACCGAATCCTTTTGTTACCAAACCAGTTGGAAACCTGGAGATTTACAGCCCTGTTACCATTCAAACCATTCCATTACCCGCTACGTTGACGACTCAGCAGCAAAAATAATGTTTTATAGTAGGGCTCAAACCAACAAAAAACCACCAAAACCCTTTGGAACAGCATAAATGTTCTTTGTTTTCTTTTAGTACAGGCAACTGAAACCTATTGCTGGCTACAGGGGACAACCCAGCAGAACTCAGGTGTGTTTATATGGTCTGAGATCCACTCTCACGTTCATCTGTCACCAACCCATTGCTGTTCCCTTCCCAGCTGTCCTTGACGTTGTCTGTCTGTAGGTTTTCCCCATTTTTCCTCGCATTTCTTCACGCCTTCACCTGACTGAGAACAGTTTTCCATCCATCAGCCCCTGGCTCTTGGAACATCGCTTCGAGTTCCCCTTGGCTCGCTTGTTTTTGTGCCCCTAAAGCTCAATTTGCTCACAGGGCATTTCCTAGACGAATCCAGGGCTAGTTTTCATGGAACCACTGAATCACTGGGAGTTGGATGGGGACCCTTAGCAGCCACTCAGTCCATCCTAACGTCCTTTTCCAACCTTAACGCCTCAAGGAAAGAAACAACGACTCCCAATCAACGGCTTCGTACCTGCGAAACGGTGATGCCACCCTTCTTTGCCAGCTCCTCTTTGGCCTCTTCGCTGGGGTAAGGATTGCTCAGGTGCGAATAGAAATACTCATTCAGCACTTCTGTTGCCTGCTTGCTGAAGTTACGCCGCTTACGTCTGTGAAAAATCACAATTATTCCTACCTGCGCGGCCGTGGGCCTGCTCTAAAGTACATCTGCTTTGAGGAAGAATACATTCATATCCTTTGAGGAAGAATATATTTAATTCCACGTGGTTTTAATATGTTTACGTCAAGGTAAGTAAGCTCGGCGTGAACAACAACCCATGAGATGTTAACACTGAAACTGACAGCAGTGGGAACGAGGTTTCCTATGCGATTACTGGCACTGAGCAATAATTAAAGCCTCTTTTCGTCACACAGAATCACAGAATCACCCGGGTTGGAAGGGACCTCAAGGATCATGCAGTTCCAACCCCCCTGCCCAGCAGGGCCACCAAACATCCACATTCAGATCAGGTTGCCCAGGACCCCGTCCAACCTGGCCTTGAACACGTCCAAGGACGGGGCATCCACAACCTCCCTGGGCAGCCCGTTCCAGGGCCTGACTGCTCTCCTTGTAAAGAACTTCCCCCTAACATCCAACCTCAATCTTCCCTCCCTCAACTTGGATCCATTTCCCCTAGTCCTGCTCTTGTCAGCCCTTTGGAAGAGTTGACTCCCCTCCTGGGTGTAGGTTCCCTTCAGGTATTGATAGGCTGCACTGAGGTCACCCCGCAGCTTCTCTTCTCCAGGCTGAACAAGCCCAACTCCCTCAGCCTGTCCTCGTAGGGGAGGTGCTCCAGCCCCCTGCTCATCTCAGTCGCCCTCCTCTGCACCCTTTACCAAAATCTCAATGTCTTTCTTGTACTGAGGGCTCCACACCTGGACACAGGACTCCAGATGGGGCCTCACAAGAGCCGAGTAGAGAGGGACGATCACCTCCCTGTCCCTGCTGACCACCCCTCTCCTGATGGAGCCCAGGATCCCATTTGCCTTTCGAGCTGCCACAGCGCACTGCTGGCTGATGTTAAGGTCGTACCTTGCATCGAGGAAGCGCGAGCGGAGGATCATCACCGCCTCACACGTGCTCTGCTTCAGCTGCATCTGGATGGTGCTGAATTTGCCGTGGATGATGTTCACCATCCGCTCGATTTCTTTGGGAGAAATGGGTCTGGTCCGGCTCTGTTCCCTGAGCAGGTTCATGACGTGGGTGGTGAACTCGCTGCAGGCCTGAAAATAAAGATATTTGTATCGAGAAACGATGAAACACCCCCTAAATGAATTCCCCCCAACAAGAGTACATATCCAAAAAAAAAAACCAAAACAAAACAGAAAACAAAACAGAGGACTTTTCACGTTTCAGCTTTATCCGTATTTACTCTTAAAAACACTGTAACAAAGATAAACGAGACATTAATTATCTTGATGTCCAGTCCCTCTATTCCACCTTAATTCTGTAGAGGTAACGAATAGCATCTTTACTTTGACGTCCCTCTATTTCATCTCATTCCTGCAACGCTGAGATAAGCTCCCAAACAAATGTGACACAACCTCGCGTCGAACTGAACTCATTTACACCTCCTGCTCCGTCCTTAAAACCAACACCGAAGGAAAAAATAATGATAATAATAATAATAATTAAAAAAAAAAAGGGGGTTATTTTCAATTGAGATGATAAAAACTCTTCCATGCAGAAAGATCACCTGTTCATATTTCTCTAGCTCAGAGTGGTAAATCTGTCGGATCTGTGACAGCTTGGCCCTGTAGTCAGAGTGCTCAATGCTATTGTCATTTGGACAGCCACCTGGTGTTGCTGCTACAGCCATCGGTGCTCCTCTTCCTCTTTTCTCGGGGCCGGAGACGCCCTCCGCCAGCAACATGTTATCTAGTCTCATTAGTTGGGCATCGGGGGGGTCTTCTTCCTGAATACCACGAATACTTAACACTGGGTAGATATAAAGAGGGAATCAGAAGGTTATTTCCGGGACGGGGAAGAGAGTCTGCTTCAGTGGTAGAGCATTTAAAGACCAGGCTTCTATCTCCAGGTCGAGGAAAGAAGGAGCGTTTAATGAAGGTATGGCGCAGTATGTACAGAGAAAACGTGGGTCAGAGGGAGAAACGGGGAACACCTTAAAGATATAAAAAGAAATAATCGTGGAATGGGGTTGGGTTGGGTTGGGAGGGTCCTTAAAGATCAAAGACAGACTATGGGAGGTGGATGAGATGCCTGAGCCGCTACAGCCGCCGTATCTCAGTGTCTGGGGGGTGAAAAGGACGCCACGCAGATGTGGGATCGTGCTGAATTCCACACCTGAGGGCTGCTTACTTAAGGTGCCTGGTGTGCCAAGGGTGCAACTACACCACTGCCAGGCAGAGGCTACGCCATCGCCAATGATAGGCCACACTGCTCCAGCAAAAGGCCACACCACCAGCCTACACCACCCCGAAGTATTGACAGCACCACGTTCTGCCCTGTTAAAACCTCGAAACCTGAAACACTCTGATGAAATCAGACCCAAATCCACTTTCGTTACGCTGACACGCAACGGGATCCGCGCTCGGATCATCCGCCTTCGATTCCAAGCAAATCTGATTCAGAATATTTAAATCCCAATTTTTGACAATTTACTGTTCGCTCCTGAAACAACAAATGAACAAACAAACAAAAGACCCTCAAAACATACTGAGTTCAAGAAACACCAGGAGCTTTCTGGCTTTTAATTGGATTTTAACTGTGAGGCAATTTAATGAGTAGTGGATTGGATTCAGGAGGGAATCTCTGCTGATAACACAGTGATGCACACCAGATCCAAAGTGACCAAAGCAATATTCCAAAGCCATCCGACAACACAGAACCGTGGGAGGACAGAATGGGTTGGGTTGGATGGATCCTTAAAGATCACAGAACTATGGAATGGGGTTTGGTTGGGTTGGAAGGGTCTGTAAAGATCACAGAACCAGAGAATGGGTTGGGTTGGAAGGAACCTTAAAGATAAAAAACAATAATAATGGAATGGGGTTGGGTTGGGTTGGAAGGGTCCTTAAAGATCAAAGAACCACAGAATGTGGTTGGGTTAAAAGAAACCTTAAAGACCACAGAACCATAGAATGGGTTGGGATGGAAGAGTCCTTAAAGATCACAGAACCAAACAATGGGTTGGGTTGGAAGGGTCCTTGAAGATCACAGAACCATACAATGGGTTGGGTTGGAAGGGTCCTTAAAGATCACAGAACAATTCAATGGATTGGAAAGGTCCTTAAAGATTACAGAACCGTAGAACAGGGTTGGGTTGGTTTAGAAAGGTCCTTAAAGATCACAGAAGCACAGTTGGGTTGCAAGGGACCCCAAAGCCCCCCCAGAACAACACTCCTCACTCTGACAGAGCTCACGTGGAACTATTGGGGCTGGGAAGGGTTGGTGGAAGAGGTGTTTGGGTTCCCATCTCCTTACACACATCGTGATGCACGTCAGCACACCTCGTGTTGGAGTTGAGCTCCCAGCTGCAGCTTAATTTTATATCACCCGTCTAATGACGGTAATTAGACATTCGTTATCATCAATTACGCATCAGCTCATCTCAAGTCAACTGCTGAATAAAGCGCCCCCACAACCTCAAGGTAAGAATCTGGTCGGCTGGGGTTAGCAAGAAACTAGAGAGGAGTTAATTAGCATTAATGAGTTGCACTTTCCACCCCGTAGCTCATCCCAGCAAGTTCATCGCTACTGAAGAAACTCATGGACCATAAAACTCACTGGTTCTCTTTACACACAAGAAAACACAAATTCCCCATTTTCCTGCACATCCCCTACTGATATCTGTCAAATATGCAAAACCATTACCCTAAGTGACGTGAAATTCCCGTCGTCTCTAATTAATCCTTAATTAAACCGCGACGCAGCCTAAGGTGTTGAAGCCTCAGTATGCAAATGCAATCACGGCCATATATTTTGCACGTCGTTAATTAAGAGGTTCGTGGTTCTGTAATGAGGTTAGCGGTACCAAAATAAGCGGTGCGCGCTCGGCTGTGAGTTTTGTTGTTGTTGTTTTTGGTGTTTTTTTTTTCCCCTCCCTTTGCAGATTTTCCTTCATGGAGCAAATAATGCAGAAAAGCAACGTGAATGCAGCCACTGGATGCACGTTTGTTGGCTTCACCTTCGTAGACAGGCATTTTAGGGCCAGAATTGAACCATTTGTACCATCCACACTATCCAAAGAGTGCGGCCAGCAGGAGCAGGGAGGTGAGCATCCCCCTCTACTCAGCACTGGTGAGGCGGCACCTTGAGTGCTGTGTCCAGTTTTGGGCCCCTCACTGCAAGAAAGACATGGAGGGCCTGGAACGCGTTCAAAGGAGGGCAATGAAATGGTGAGGGGTCTGGAGCACAGGGCTGAGGAGGAGAGGCTGAGGGAGCTGGGAATGTTCAGCCTGGAGAAGAGGAGCTCAGGGGAGACCTCACTGCTCTCTATGGCTGCCTGAAGGGAGGCTGCAGGGAGCTGGGGGTCAGCCTCTGTACCGTGGTCCTCCCAACCATTTCACAACTGACCTGTAAGGACCCCTCCATCCCAACCCCTCCACAACTGACCTGTAAGGACCCTACCATCCCAACCCCTCCACAACTGACCTGTAAGGACCCTTCCATCCCAACCACTCCACAACTGACCTGTAAGGACCTTTCCATCCCAACCACTCCACAGTTGCCCTGTAAGGACCCTACCATCCCAACCACTCCATAGTTGACCTGCAAG